GAGGACCTGGGTTCGATTCCCAGCACCCACATGTTGGCTACGAACCGTCCTTAACTCCAGGTCCAGGGGAATCCGAAGCCCTCTTCCTGACCGGCACGGCATTGCACAACACCGGTGCACTCACATATATGCAGGAAATATACTCACACACGTAAAATTAAAAAAAAAAAAAAAATTTTCAGGGGCTTGGAGAGATGACTCAACAGTTCCGAGTACCCACATGACAGCTAACAATTGTCCATAGCTCCAGTTCCAAGGAATGGAACACCCTCTCCTGGCCTCCCTGGGCAGTGGACGCATGTGCACTTACATGCACATAAGTAAAACAGGCATAAAATAAAAAAATTAAATAAAAAGAAATTTCCAATGAAGGAAAAATTCAGCCATCTCCCTGTTTTTTAAAAAGGGTTCTGCAAGAAGGGAAGCAAGTCAACATAGTCTACCTGCACCAACTTCCCTCTACCCAAAATGAGCATAGCACAATACCTTTAGTAGCATAATTGAAGTCAACATTTCGGAAGTGGACAAGCATAACATCGCTTGGTTTAAACACCATGGTGTCTACAATGTCTTCCCGGCGAGGGCCACCAGCTGGCTCAGATGCTTTCCGGTGTACTGCATCTACAGCCAGTTCAAACTACAAAAGCCCATTCCCAACATTCCTGGGTCAGTATCAAGAAATGTGAAAGCAAAAATAACCATTTTTTTCCTTAACCTCTCCAAATCTTTCCCAACACCAGACTGTTGTGTTGCCTTGCCGCTTTCTCAACAGCTACCAAACTTAGCAAAAAAAACAAAAACCCTCAAAGTTACCAGGCTTAGTGGTACATGCCCTTAATCCCAAGGTAGAGGCAGCATGTCTGAGTTCAATGCCAGGCTGGTCTACATAGCAAGTTCCAAGCTAGGTCTACATAGTGAGACCCCGTCTTAAAAAAGCCAAAAAACCCCCAAGCATAGTGGTGTGGCGCATGAATGTATTCCCAGCACCCTGGAGGCAGAGGCACGCAGATCTCTTGAGCTCAAGGCCAACCTGGCCTACATAGCAAGCTGCAGGCCAGCTGGGGCTACAGGGAAACCCTGTTTCAAAGAAAAAACAAAAAACACAGGGACTAGAAAGATGGCTGACTGGCTAAGGCACTGGCTGCTCTTGCAGAGAACCAGTTCATTCCCAGCACCGAAACAGCTAACAACTGTCTGTAATTCCAGGTCCAAGGGATCCAACACCCACCCACTTTTGCCCTCCAGGGGCACTGCACGTACAGATGCTTACATAACTCAGGCATTAACACTCATACACATACAATTGGAAAAAGTTAAAAAAAAAAAAAACAAGAAACAACACATAAAACCCCAAACCTAAAAATTGCTATCACCCAACACACCCTCAATTTCATTCTTCTCATGTGCAGCATCAAAAATCAGCTAATTTGAGTGCACTAACCTTTGAGCTTAGAGTCTTAAAAATGCCCTCATACGTGGTGCCGTTTTTCACCTTTACATCACAAGTGGAACCCTATGAAGGTATGGGAAGTACAAGAGTCACTCCAGGCACCTGATACATATACATTACATTCCTCAAACACCCAAGGGATTAAGGCCCTAACTTACCACCACAGCTGTCAGGAAATGCAGCATCCTGGAGTTGTTATAGACACCTTCAAATACCTGTCAGTAACATAGGAAGGAGAAAGAAAGAAGGGAGCATCGGGTAAATGTCTCCTTTCTTTCTGGACTAACTGCCCCACATACTTGTCTTTGTATCTTATAGAAGGTACAAAAAAGCACTCACAGGTGACTGTGGGGGTCCCTTTCCCGTGCTCTGTCCCCTGTAAAAGAAACTATCTTTAATTAACAACAAATGCTAGAATCATGTACCATGCAAAGCTGCTGATTTAAGCTACAAGCCAAATTATCAGCAAGACTTTCAAACTCCCATTAGAGAGGAGTAGGCATTAAATGCCAATGAACATTTTCTCCAAATGCCAGTTTAGGAGAAAACCAAAAAAACAAAATACAAATCAACAACAGCTGTCAATTGCAATAGAACCTGACTTTTGCCCATGGGCCAGTGTTTCATGCTTCCAGTAAACCAAAACACACACAAAACCAATAACCCAATTCAGTTGTGAAGGTAAAGGTCAGGGATCACAGATGTAGCACTGCTTAGCTCAGACACATCACCACCCAAGCAGAAAAAAAATCATTTTCAGCAGCTTTATATCCCAAATCCCGGGAGGAGGGGGTATTCCCTCCACACCACACCCTTTCGCCCTAATTGCTCATTTGGCCTGTTACCCACGCTGAAGTAATCACCAATCGCCAGGTATCACTGCTCCTCGACGGCTGATGTAACCGGCAGTTGAGCACGGCGAGGAGGGGGCCGTTGGCGGGGCTGGGGGACAGCGCAGCCGCAAAAGCCATCCACCAGGAGGCCTCGCCCGGTCTGCGCCTGCGCATTAAAGCCCACCGCCCGCTTCACAATCTACCCCCCTAGCAGAAGCTACTGCGCCTGCGTGTACCGCCACTCTCAAACGCATTGACACACACAGAAACCGAGTGATATACCCATTTCTTACCCACCACCCACACCAGAGGGCCCTAAACCCTCCGTGCATACCCCCAGCCTCTGCCCGGCGTGTTACCCGAGTCAGCCAATGCCCGGGTCATAAGACAGTAACTGCGCGTACGTACGAGAAGGGAGCGCGCGCGCTCAGGTTCCCGGCCCGCAGTCCTCCCGGCAGCCGCTCCTTCCGCGCCCCCGCCCACCCGGCTCCCCTCCTACTGGCTGCAGGGGAAGAGGAGGGAACAATCCGCTCCCAAGTCCCTCCTTCCCTATTGGTCAAACTGTGGGCCGCGCGCCCCCCCTCCATTGGCTACGGCCAGAGACCCCTTCCCGCAGCTGACTCCCCATTGGCTGAAGCCGGGGACCGCGAGATCCTTCGTGGTAATGGAGCTGTGGACCCCATAACCTCCTCACCCCCCCCCGCAACACCCCTTTCCGACGGCGCTAGCGGGACGCGCCCCGCCTCCCCTCTGGGGCCCGGACCCCAAGCGGCGACTAGGCCCGGGAGCCGAGCGCCGCCACAGGCTGCCGAGGCCGACCTGTTGGCACCCCTAGGCGCCTTCCACGGGGCTGAAGCCGAGCCTGTTGGGGCTCCCCCGCCCGGAAGTTCCCCTCCTCACCTAGCGCTGCCAATGGCCACGGCCCCCGGCCGCTCTGGGTGCTGCGGTGGCGGCGCCAAGATGCCCTCGGCCGCCCGACGGAGTCCGCTCGCAGCCGCAGGCCCCAGGCACGGCGAGGCAGTCGGGGGAGGCCCCGGGGGAGCCGCGGCGGCGGCCAGCGGCCCCGGGAGCCCGCCGTTGGGAGGGCTGGTGCCCCCCGGAGGCCGACGGGCCACGGCCTGTTGCGTGGGGGGCGGCTGTTGGGGCTGGGACGTCTGTTGTGTCGGCTGAGGCTTCAACATGATGGCAGCGTCCGGAAGGGGAGTGAGGGAAGGGAAAGAGGGGCCGGGGCGCCGCTGGAGAGCGCGGGAAGCGAGAGGGACCGCGAAGCCGGGACCCGCCGTTGGCGGGCGGGGGGAGCCCCGCGGTGTCAGGGGTAGATCGAGAAGATCACGGCGCGAGGTAGCGCCGCGAGGCGGAAGGGGAGGGGGACCTCGCGGGCCGGAGGAAAGCAAGAGGGTGCGAGGCGGGCCTACGCGCGTGCGCGCCTCGGGGGGTGGGAGGAGGAGAGAGGGAGGAGCGCGGGGACGGGGGAGGGGCACGCCGCAGGCCCGGGAGCGCGCGGGCCGTCCGGTTTCGGGCGGGAGATCTCGGCGCTGGCCCCGGGGGTTGGGCCGGGAGCCGCGGGTACTCTCGGCGCCCCAGAGACTTGGGGTATCCTTGTCCCGAGCCCCCCGGAAGGCGGCCGTTCCTGTTGCTTCACAAAGCGTGCGAGGCACCGGGGGCGGGGCCACTGCGCGGAGAGGAAGAGCCGGCTGTTACGCCCACCCTCTCGCGGTACGTCACAGCGTCTCCGCGGTGGTGTGAGACGTTCTCCCGTAGCGTGAGGTTCTTCCGCCAGTCGGGGTTCCGTGGGCGGAGTCTCAAGTGCCAAAAAATCCCCCAGGACCGAACAAATGGAGCTGAGCTGAGGTTTCCTAAGGCGCTGCTCTCCTTAACTGCTTTAAGTGATTAGTTTGGGAGCGTTATCATTTTTTTTTTTTTTCGGTCTTTTTAGAGACAGGGTCTCCCTGTAGCCCCAACTGGCCTGGAACTCACTTTGTAGACCAGGCTGGCCTGGAACTCACAAAGATCCTCCTGCCTCTGCCTCCCAAGTGCTGGGCATGCGTTTTCATTATTACAGATGAATCTGCCCAGTCCTACATTAAGTTTAATCATTTAAAGCCCGAGATAGTTCTTTGCAGTAGCAGGACAGGCGTTTGAAGGCGACACTTCCTAGAGCAGCCTGGCAGGCGAGGTTGCACAGGCCTTTAATCCCAGCACTAGGGAGGCACTCGCAGGTAGATATGAGTTCGAGACCAATCTGGGAGCTGGAGAGATATTTCAGCGTTAAGAGCACTGGCTGGCCTTGCAGATGATACAGGTTCAGTTCCCAGCACCCACATAGTGGCTAACAACTATCCTTAATGTGCCAGCACCAGAGGATCCTAACCCCTCTTTTGGCCTCTATAGGTATTGTGCATTGTGCAGGCAAAACGCTCCTACACAACACTTTCAAAAGCCCCCCCCCCACTTGTTAGTCTCTGTATGATGAGTGCTGGGAACAGAACCCCAGTCCTCTGCAAAAGCAGCCAGTGCCCTTGACAGCTGAGCTATCGGCTGCCCAGCTGGTTTTTTGTTTTTGTTTTGTCTTTCTGAAGCGATGTGTAGCCCCAGCGGGCCTTGCATTGTAGACCATGCTGGCCTCCACTCACAAAGATCCTCTGCCTCAGCCTCCCAAGTGCTGGGATTAAAGGCATGCACCACCACACCCAGTTTTGTTTTGTTTTTTAATATCCAACCTTATCAATAGAAATACCAGGTTTAAAAGGCACCAAAGCCAAGAAAACCAACGATGCCAGACAGTGAATTTCTATTACACTGTCCTTTGAACACACCAGCAGGAGGGGTTTGTTTTAAGAGAGGGTCTCACTGTATACCCCTGGATGGCCTGCAACTCAGAGTTCTGACCGCCTCTGCCTCCTGAGTGCTAGGATTAAAAGGTATACACCACCACACCCAGTGGGATTAAGTAGAGCAGTGATAGGTATGTCGTCTTTTGCGAAAGAATTTTAATTTTTTGTGCGTGAATATCTTGCCTGCCTGCACGTGTACACCATGTGCATGCCTCATGCCTGAAGAGACCAGAAGAGGGCATCCCCTGAAACTGGAGTTAATGAACTGTGGGATGGTTGTGAGCATCCATGTGAATGTTGGAAACTAAACCTGGATATTCTGCAAGAGCAGTAAGTGCCCTTAACCATTGAGCTACCTTTCCAGCCCTCAGGGCACATGATTTTAATCCTTCTGCTGTGGTACTTTTACCAGTTCCTCCCCTAAGAATACAGATACCTAGCTAAGTCTGCCTTGCTATTTGGTTTCTTTTTTTGGGGATTTTTTTTTTTTTTTAATGGTGCTAAGGGTCAAACCCAGGGCCTTAAGCACCAAGCCACCACAACTTACTCGTTAGAAGTACTTCTTCACCCTATCTCAAATGTGTTAGGTTTCTTTTTTGGATGCTTGCCCAGCAATTTACTTTTTTTGTTTGTTTTTTGTCTTTTTGAGGCAGGGTCTCCCTGTAGCCCCAGCTGCCCTGGAACTCACTATTGTAGACCAGGCTGGCCTCGAACTCACAAAGATCTGTTTCTGCCTCCCAAGTGCTGGGATTAAAGGCGTGCACCACCATGCCCAGCTCTTTACCTTCTTTTTTTAAATGATTCCGTTGGCCTTGATCCTTAAAAGTTAGGGTCCTTAAACTCCTCTTTTCATGACTTCAATTCCACTTGCACATAGGCTTTCCACATTTCCATACAGGATTCCTTTTGGATTTGCTCTCATCCCATAAGCTCAAGGATCAGTTTTTTCAACTACTTCTGTTATTGATTCCCTCTCTTGGCCTCCAAAGCCCTATTTGTGTGTGTGTGTAAGGTGGTATTTTGGTATTTAGATCCCCTATCCACACCTTTCCTCTGCCCCCCACCCAATTAAATGTTTTATATATATATATGCCTATATAGAGTCTGATCTGTGTCCTCAAATGTCCTTCATTGTGGGTCCATGCCCTGGGCCCACTGTCTGTACTAAATGTGGTATTGTATACCAATAATCCAGCACTTGGGAGGCCAAAGCCCAAAAAAGATGAGTTTGAGACCAGTCTAGGCTACAAATTCCAGGCCAGCCTTTGTCTTAAAAACACACACAGAAGAGAGGTGTGGTGGCACACACCTTGGGAGGCAGAGGCAGGCGGATCTCTGTGAGTTCAAGGCTAGCCTAGTTTACATAGTGAGCTCCAGGCCAGCTGGGGCTACAAGAAAACCCTGTCTCAAAAAGTCCAAAAAACAAAAAAAAAAACAACCCAACCAACAACAAGAAGAGAATTGGGGAAATAGCTCAGTCGTATCAGTACAAACTCATGGGGAAAAAAAAAAAGAATATGGACTGGCAAAATAAAATGACTCAGAAGGTAAAGGTACTTGCCACCAAGCTTAATGGCCTGAGTTTGACCCCTGGGACCCACATAGTGGAAAGAGAACCAACTCATAAAACTTGTCCTCTACACGTGTGCCTTTGCTTGTGTACATCCACATACACAAACAAAAATAATGTAAAAAAAAATAGACACCTAGTGCCAAGATTTATTCATTTTGATGGGGGATCATGTGTCCAGGGCTGGCCTGATAATCATGTATCTTGGAATGAACTGATTCAGAGCCTTCCACATCCTATTCCTGGGTACCCCCACACCCAATTTAATGGGATCCAGGGACTCGAACCCAGGTCTTCACAAGCATGACAGCAGGTACTACCAACTGAGCTACATCCCATCCTAGGCCTAAACCTATGCCAAGCAAAAAACTAGAAAAGTCATGGGGGAAACTGATTAATTTGGAGTGTGATAAGTTGCATTTCCTAAATGCATGACTGTACTATAGATACTTAAAATGGTTTGGTGACAGTAATACAGTAGAGCAGAAGTGTGCAATATACAAGCATTCAAGCTATTCTCAAGTGATTCGAAAATGTACAAGGCTGGGGTGCAGCTGAGTGGTAGAACATAGGTTTAGTATTTCAGCACGTGAAAAAGATCATACAAAGAGGGAAATGGCAAACGTGGTATATCAACAGCTGCAGAATTCAGGTAAATGTTAAACTGAAGTTAGGTCTTTCGGTTTCTTTTCTTTTTTTTTTTTTTTGGTCTTTTTGAGACAGGTTCTCCCTGTAGCCCCAACTGTCCTGGAACTCACTCTGTAGACCAGGCTGGCCTTGAACTCAGAGACCCGCCTGCCTCTGCCTCCCGAGTGCTGGGAGTAAAGGTGTGCGCCACCACGACCGGCTTCAAATTATTTTCAAAGTGAGAAATTGTATACTTGGAGGGTTTTCACACCATAAATATATACAATTATGTGTCAAATTTTTCAAGAGTTGGAGGAATAACTCAATGATAGAGGATGTGTTTAACACTTGTGAAACCCTGGGTTCCATCAAAAAAACCAATTTAAAAACAGAAAAAAGGAAGGTATGCTGGAATATACCTTTAATCCCAGCATTCAGGAGGCAGAACCAGACAGATCTCTAAGGTCTCAATACCAGCTTGCTCTACGTAGTTCCTGGCTAGCTGGAGCTACAGGGAGACCCTGTAATCAAAAAAAAAAAAAAAAAAAAAAGGGCGGAAAAACAGAAAAAAAATTAGAAACTGACACATAAGCATTATTTGGTATTTCTAAAGTTGGGAAAAAGAGAATAAGCCTCTAACCATGTATGTGAACGCCACAAGCTCATGAATATACTAGATAAGTTGTTTTTATGTCTCAAGAATATTCCTAGGGCAGATGTGGTAGCACAGACCTGAGACAGGAGGATGGCAATTTTGAGGCCAGCCTGGACTACATAATGAGTCCCTGCTTCAAAAAGAAAGAATACAGAGAACCCTCTCCAGTTTGCCTGTGTCACTTGACTATTGATCCTGAGCATTTGAATTTATAATCTATACATTGAGACAGTTCCCAGAGAATCAGCCACTTGGGTCTGGAGAACTGGCTCAGTGGTTAAGAGCTGCTCTTGCAGAGGAACCAGGTTTGATTCCCAGCACCCACATGGTGGCTAGCAACTCTTCCCTTACGCCAGTTCCTGGGGATCTGACACCCTCTTCTGGCCTCTGTGGGTACATGGTACACTTACAGACTGTAGGCATAAAATGCAATTTTTTTTGTATGTGTGTTAAAAACTAGCTAGAACTCTCCTACCTGAGGATATACCCTGTGCTTTCTGCTCCCCCAACTGCTCCTCCTTGGGCTATGCCCAGGCCTTTGAGAAAGAAAGGGCTGAGTGATAGAGTTTAAGGAATTTGTCTTCATTGTAATGCCTTGTCTTTTTTTTTGAGATAGGATTTCTCTGTAGCCACAGCTAGCCTGGAGCCTAGAATTTGCTATGTAGACCAGGCTGGCCTCTATCTCATAAGAGATCTGCCTGTCTCTACCTTCAGAGTGCTGGGATGTGTGCCACTATGCCCGATATAATGCCTAGTCTTGAGGTCTAGCCACACACTCTGCTTATCTTAGATGAGGCCCAATTGTTTCTGTGTGAATGCCATCCAGGTATCTCAGTATCTCAAACTGGGATTACTACTCAGACATTTTAATAAATGCAGGGAGCACTGATGCCACCATTAGGGTTCTTTTTGTTGTTAGTTTCATCCTGTAGCCTAGGTTAGCCTTAAACTCTCAATTCTCTTTGACTTACCATGGTTGGGATATGTACCTTCATGAAACTGAAAGTCTGGGTTTGAGAAATATAATCTGGATTTTTAAATTTCTAATCTCTGCTGTGTGTGGTGGTGCAGGCCTTTGGTCCCATCACTCAGGAAGCAGAAACGTGAATCTCTGAGTTCTAGGTCAGCTGGTCTACACAGGGAGTTCCAGGCCACCTAAGACTACATAGTGACATGAAATCTCAAAAACAAATGAAAAATTTTCATTTTCCCAGCAGAATGTGGTAGTGCAAACAAGTGATCCAGCACTTGGGAGGCAGAGGTAGGCAGAGTTCTGTGATTTCAAGGCCAGTTTGATCTACATAAATTCCAGATCAGCCAAGGCTACATAGTGAGAACCTATCTCAAAATAAAGGCTGGGTGTGGCAACACACACCTTTAATCCTGTCACTCACAAGGCAGAGACAGGTGGATCTTTTGTTGTTTTTCCCATTTTGGTCTTTTTTTTGAGACAGGGTCTCCCTATAGCTTCAACTGGCCTGGAACTCACTTTGTAGACCCACCTGCCTCTGCCTCCTGAGTGCTGGAATTAAAGGCATGCTTGCACCTGGCAGAGACAGATCTTTATGACTTCCAAGTCCAGCCTGGACTATGTAGAGAGTTCTAGGCCAGTCAGGGCTAAATAGTGAGACCTTGTCCCAGAAAATAAATAGAAATTTCCAAAGGTGAAGGTGGGAACATTTTTGTGTGCTAAATAACGCATATCTGCAACCCACCAATGGGTTCCTAAGACAAATGTCTCGCTGAAACCCCACTGCCAATAGTCACGTTCTTATCTCAGGGCTGACAGAACGCTGCAGCTGTAGAAGCCAGACAACCCATGCCTCTTGGCAGGATCTCTCTCTGCTGTTCTTGCTTGTTATCAAACAAGTCACAGCCAAGCTAAATAACTTCTTTTTTCTGCAACTCCAGGAAAGGGCCCAAGGACACCTCAACCCAGACTTCACAGCTGTGTGTGTGTGTGTGCCCTCGTGTGCGCGCGCACACCTTCTTCATTTTCTAGCCATATATAATTAAATTCAGCACCACCCCTGACATCTTTGCACAGTTTGTATTTCCATGGAGACCCTATTCCATCTGCTGCACGGTCTGGCTCTGCTCTTTTACCTAAACTTCTTTCTCTGTCCTTTTTTAAAAAAAAAAAAATTTTAATTTTATTATTTTGTGTAT